TTGAATATGTCACCCCAGTGCCTTCTGGCCCCCATTCTTCCTTATGAAAAGTCAGCTATTAGTCTTTTTGGGTCTCCTTGTATGTAACAAGATCTTTTTCTCTTGCTGCTTTTAAGATTTTTCTCTTTGTATTTATATTTGGAGATTCTACTATGCTGTGTCTTTGTGTGGATTTCTTTACATTTTTCCTACTTAGAGTTCTTTAATTTTCTTGGATATGTAGATCACCAATTTTCATCAAATTTGGGGAGTTTTCTGTCATTATTTCTTCAGATTTTTTTTCTGCTTTTTTCTCTCTCTCCTCTCTTTCTGGTACTCTCATTATGTGTATTTTGATGCACTTAATGATGTCCCACATTTCTGTGAGGCTCTGTTCTTTTAACTCTCTATTCATTGGGTTGCATAATCTCTAAAGACATAGATTCAACTTCATTGAATCTTTCTTATGTCAGTTCAAATCTATTGTTTAGCTCCTGTAGTGAATTTTTCATTTAAGTTATTATGCTTTAATTTTTTTAAAAAATTTAGTAATTATTAGCATATTCATTATTACAAAACTCCAGAATTTCCATTTAGTTCTTTTTTCTTATTTTTTTCTCTACATGATGAGACATTGTCATTATATTTTCCTTTACTTCTTTAATCATGGTTTATGTTAGTTCTATTAATGTATGTGTAATGACTGTTTTGAAGTCATTGTCTTTTACATCTAACATATGGGCTCTTTCACAGGCATTTTCTGTTGCTTGGGTTTTTTTTCCCCCTTTGTGTATGAGTCACAAACTCATACTTTTTTGTTTCTTCACATGTCTTATATTTTTTGTTGAAATCTGTACATTCTAGAAAATATACTGTAACAACTCTGGATACTGATTTCTACTCTATCTCTGCAGCTTGTTGTTGATATTGTTTGTTTGTATTTTTAGCAATTTGGCTTGACTATTTCAGTAAAGTATATTTTCCCCACAGTGTGAAGCCTCTGATGTCACTCCTTAAAGTGTACATCTTTGGACATGTGTATAGTCATTTGAGATGACAGTAGTTTTAACACAGCTTTCTTTGTTGGTCTCTTTCCCTGGTCTTCCTGTTAAGCTATCTGCTTCTGTTAGTATATCACTCAACTATTAGACTCCACTACTTGCTTGCTGCTTGCTCTATTGTTTTCAAAAATACCCTGGGATATAAGTTGCTCTACAGTATGACCCCATTAAATTTGGGCCATTTTGCAGTCTGAAGGAGACCTCAGGAGATCTCATCTTAGCTGTCTTTTCCCCTGGTTCTCTCTGGTGAGCAAGATGGCCTACAATCTATTTTATTGTCTTCAAGGAGCTACTACTTGCTTAGCACCAAAATTTCCATTGTTCTCCAGAGCACCCTTAGTCTTGAACTCCCCTCTGCCCACAACATTTTCTTCTAAATAAAGTCAGTTCCTTTGGGGAGAGCTTCAGAATTCTTTGTTCTTACATTCCACTTCTCCCTCTGGGCAATATCTCTGAGCCACTACCCTGGAGCTTGGAATGGGAACAGTGGCCCATTTTTCTTGAAGTGACACCCCCGTTCTATGAGCAGGGCTCCAAAAGGGGTGGTAAACACTGGTCTTCTTGGTTTGCTTCTCCTGATGTGAACCTCTGGCCTATGAGTGACCTAGGCCACAGGCAATCAGGGCCCTTGTATCTTCATTCTGCCACACCAAAGGTAGAGCCTTCACCCTATGGGTGGAGGCTGGATGGAGGAAGAGAGCCCCCAAGCTCTTGGCTTCAGTCACCTGAAATTTAGCCTCTGCAAAATGGAGCTGAAGGGGATGAGAAATGCTGAGGATCTGCCCTTCTCAGGGAGGAACAATAACCCTTTCCTGGGAGCCATCAAGAGAGGGAGCCTCATGTTTTTTGGCCATACCTTCCTGTAGTGGGGTTTCCATGCTGAGCTGGCAGAGGCCATGACTGTGGCTCAACTTTGACAGACTCTCACTGTCCTTATCAAGATTTAGTAGATTTTCTTAAATAAATGTTTCTGCATTTGCTGTCTGCTTTTAGGACCATTTCTAGAGACTTTAAATGTTTGTTTATTTATTTTACTTTTTAAAGAGCAGTCACCACTTATGGTTGTTTCATCAGGGAGTGGATCCACAGAGTTCCTCGTGCTGCCATTCCAGAAGTCAATCTCCCCTATAGTGTTTTTTAATTTTCATTCTTAATGAAAAATGGCTCATGATGTTGAACACCTTTCAAAGGCTTATTTATGGTTTTTTAAAAATCTTTTTTTGTTGTTGAGTTGTTTGAGTTTTTATTGTTGATTACTAGCAGTTCTTTAAAGAGCCTGTAAATGAGTACAGTATTAAATATATGTATTATAATATTTTATTATTTAATAAGGACCAAACTTGCTCTGTGTCTTGTTTAGAGTCAGTGTTTATAAATATGTGTTAATAGATTTGACAAAAGATGTCATCCCAGAGCCAGTTAATGTTCTTCATAAATTCAAGGGTCTTCAGAAGAACTTCTGAATTCTCTGTATTCTTTTGATGCAAGAGATGATGTATTTCTAGTGTCCTACCCACAATCTGGTAAGTTTATTTTAATGCATTTTTTTAAATGTAGAAATGCAATAATAAGAAGAAAGATGATCATTCTTACAAAAATGTTTATTTTTCAGAATATTTCCACAGCTTATTCTACTTTACTTTCTCTTAATGGTGACTTTTAATCAATAGAGGTTTTTAATTTAATGAAGTCCAATTATAAATATTTTCTTTAATGGTTAGTGATTTTGTGTATCATGTTTAAGAAATCTTTGCCTTTCTAAAAATCATGAAAATATTCTCCTATGTTTTCTTCTAGATGATTTTTATTTTTAAAATTTAATTCTACAATCATCTTAAATTTTTCTTTGTATGTAAGTGTAAGGTAGGATTTACTATACTCCATATATGAAGTCAATTAAATGAATACCATTCATTGAAAAAATATTCTTTCCTCACTGAATTTCACCTTCATCATGAATCAAGTGTCTGTCTTTTTTTGTACTCTTTATTCTATTCCATTGGTCTATATGTTTAGCCTTGGGCTCAGGCCACATTGTCTTAATTACTGTTACTGTATGGTGAATCTGATAGTATAATTCTACAAATTTGTTCTTTTCTAAGATTTCATTGGCTACTCTGGGGCTTTTGCATTTCCATAGGAATGCTTGTCATTTTACACACACACACACACACACACACACACACACACACACACACACACACACACGCCTGTTGCAATTTTGATCAAACTGAATTGACTTTGTAGATCAATAGGAGAATCTTGACATTTTAATAATATTGAGTTGTCTGATTAATGAACATGATATATTTCTCTCTTTATTTAGGTCTTTAACTGGTCTTGGCAATACTTTGTAGTTTCAGTGTATTGCATATCTTTTATTAGATTTATTTCTAAAGACTAGATTTTTTTCATATTATTATAAGTGGGGTTGTTTTTCCAATTTTATTTAATTGGTTGCTGCTAGAATACAAAAATACAGTTCATTTTCATGTATTGCCCTCATAATTCAGCAGCCAATCTCAATTTACATGTTTATTCTAATGATTTGTGGATTCTTTGGGATTTTCTATGTAACTGACATCATAAATTTCATTTCCGCCACTGTCAGGGGTATCTTTCTTCAATTATTTCTCCCACCGTAGATTGATAGTTTTTTGTGCTTGGTTAAAATGCTGATTGTTTCCTTCTTGTGTACATTTCCTTTGATGGCTAGACAAACAAACAAAGATTCAACTGTAGTTCACTGAAATAATTGGCACTTTGTGGCCATATCAAATTGAATTGAATATATTACAATATGGGCCAGCCCCGTGGCACACTCGGGAGAGTGCGGCGCTGGGAGCTCAGCGACGCTCCCACCCGGGTTCGGATCCTATATAGGAATGGCTTGTGCGCTCACTGGCTGAGCGCGGCGCGGGTGACACCACACCAAGGGTTGCGATCCCCTTACCGGTCACGAAAACGGCAAAAAAAAAAGAAAATATTACAATATTAGTCACAAAAGCTAAGAATGACTCAGGTAAGAGTTTATTTATTTCAACTTAAAACTTCTTGTTTATATACAAGTTCAAGATATCACTTCTCTGGCTTGTGTGACTTAATTCCCATGTTATCTTTTTTGGGCTGGCTGGTTAGCTCACTTTTTGATTAGAGCATGGTGCTGATAATACCAAGGTCAAGGGTTCAGATCTCCGTATGGGCAAGCTGCCAAAAAAAAAAAAAAAAAAAAGAAAAAAAAAAAAAAAAAAAGAAAAAAAAAAAAAAAAAAAGAAAAAAAAAAAAAAAAAAAGAAAAAAAAAAAAAAAAAAAGAAAAAAAAAAAAAAAAAAAAAAGAAAGAAAGAAAAGAAAAAAGACTTCATGTTATCTTTTCCAAAGTACTTCTTGTAAGGTTTGTTTGTCTTCAGTCATAGATTTAACTGCCAATTCCTAGAAAAAAATTTTATTGCTCCTTTCTTAGTCTATTCCTCCTCTTTCCTGAAATGCAATACTAGCTACTTCCTCTACTTAAAAAAAAAATCATATGTTAATATTAATAAGAAGAAATTCAACTTTTCTAATTATTTCCACAGTGAGGTACTTCATTATTGCCACTAAAAGCCTTTAGGCTAAAGAATCTGATTAATTTTAGTGCCTTAATACAATAATTACATTCTAATAGCTTGGTAGCTTTGTACGTAAGCAATCTTGAGGGTCAAGTTGGAGGAAATATTATGTAATATATGTTGGCAGTAAAACTGAGATAAAATCATTTTCACAGTCGACTTTGGCTCAGTTATGGTTTAGAAATTACTCTTGTGAAGAACTGCACATCGCATATATATGTATGTTCCCCTAGTTGGAATGCCAGCTTAATTGTTTTAAGATTACTTTGCCACTGAACTATCAAGGACCATACTTGCTCTGTGCCTGTCTAGAGTCAGTGTTTAGTAAATACTTTTTGATACATTGGACAAAATATGTCATCCCAGAACCAGTTTAATGTTCTTCATAGATTCAAGGGGATTCTCTTTTCTGCTATGTCTTCTGAAGCACTTCTAAATTCTTTGGATTCTTTTGATGCAAGAGAAGATGACGTGTTTCTGGTGTCCTACCCAAAATCTGGTAAGTTTGTTTTAATGCATTTTTAAAATGAAGAAATACAATAATAAGAACTATAATAATAATTTTTATGAAATATTTATTATTCAGTATTTTTCTACAGCTTAATCTAATGAAAAAGTTTGCATTAGAGAGCTAAAAAATGTGCCTTGAAGAAGACTCAATTGGAAAAATTAAAGCTTTACTATGTTCTTGTCTCTATTTTATTCATGAAGACATATAGATGTTCATATATATAACAAGCATAAAATCTATAACATTATAAAGTTCTCATCACACTTTGCCCCAGGCATAGCAATAACTAAATAATGTTTGTTCAACTCATATTTAATAATTGATTCATAAATGAACAAATTTTTTTCTTCTGGAGTAAAAAGAACTTTTAATATTTTTATTGTTAAAGGGGTTTTACTATAAAGTTTGCTCCTACATATAGGTATACATCCGTGAAGGGAAAATTATTATGAATTTATCATTTTGTAGATAATCAAAATTATATATTATTTTTGTTTTTGAGAGATGATCAGGTTAATATATAATATCCAACTGCCTTTTGCTATCTCCAGAATAGTGGGCATACGTGAATGGTCATAGACCTGCTAGCATGAGTTGAGCAACTAAGAGCTAAGCTCCCTTCGAGTTCTGTGTGCATTGTAATCTCTTCACCTGAGTCTGAAGAGGTCCTCCCTGTGGGAAGATGCAGATTTCACATAGAGTCAGATCTCCCAAGGTGCTTTCTGAGAATAAATATAAACCATATACATATATACATACATATCTTTTATTTTGGAAAATATTGCTGCAAGGGGAAATTAAACGATTGCCCCCAGAATACCTCAGGGTAAAATGTAATAGGTTGCTCTGTGAATAAATGTATCTTAAGTTGATATATTAGTTTAGAAAGTAATTTATGATACTTTTTGGAACAGGTGGCTAACTTATACCATATGTAAACAACCATACATAGGCTTGCACTGTACATGTTGGTGCCTGTAAGTTGACATTCCCAGTCATCTAAAGCACTAGCTACCAGGAGGTCCCCTCCAGTAGCAAAAGCCATGTATGTTCTCTCTCTTTTATCAAAATAAATCAATATATTTTGTTAAAATAAAACAAATATTACTAATATGAGTCACATTTGTATGAATACTATAACTATAAATATTTTGACTTATTAACAATATAATCTAAAACAGTCTGAATATTAAAACATATAGCACAAATGAGAGCACTGTTTAAACTCTAAATATTTATTCAACTATAAATGTGTTAATATTGTATTTCATTGAAATTACAATGAGATAAATGGAGACTAGGCCTGATTTAAAGTCTTTGGAAACACTGCTTTCAAATTAGCAACACATCACCACCACCACCCACCGCCTCCACCCCCTGCAAACTTCTATTTTCTGCTCCAGTTTACTATTGTCTACAACACTGGAGCATGTCCACCATTTGCTTTATGTAAACATAAAGTTGTATTCCTTCCAGATTCCAAGCAGGCATGTACCCCTGTGATGTTTGAATACAGCATACATGCATTGGTCAAATGCTTTGTTTGCACAACTATTATATATCTGCACACAAACAGAAATGAGTCAGTTAACTGTCTTCAGGAGGGAAATGAAGAGATAGACATGAACACAAACAATGCCAACTATACTCTCATGTGTGCTCTGCTCAAGGTAGGATTTGGGTGCACTGCGGGGAGACAGGAAGGCATGAGCAACTCTGCCAGGGGATGAGGATTCAGGAGACAGTTTATGAAACAGGAAGATTCATGAGCCTGCAGGACCAGGAGGAATCATGTATGGAAAGATCTGTGTCTATCTGTGAATTGGAGAAGGATCTAGGAGTGAGTGGTGACACAGGGGAGCATTTCAAGCTGGGAAACAGCACATACAGTTTTCATATCCCTTTACTCTCTTTAAAATGTGATTCTACCAGTAAAATAAATTAGCATCTTAAGTGTTTCAACAGGTTTCAATGGGTGTCGGGCGGTAATCATAACTATTTTTAATAAAATCAATGTGTTCATTGCTTTTATAATATGCTAATTTTCTATATTCATTTTACCAAGAGTGACATTTAATTAAAATTGCATTTCATTTTATTTTTGCGTGAAGGCACTCATTGGATTGCAGAAGTCATTGAGAACATTCCTAATGCTGGAATTACTTTAACATCTCCCATTGAATTTGGAGACATTTCTAAATTTGAAGAGCTAAAAATGTATTCTAAGAGAAGAGTAATTCCAACACATTTGAGCTACGATATGCTACCCATGAATATTAAACAAAAGCAATGCAAGGTAAGTTCTATGATTAAGGGCAAAGGCTCAGGAGTCGGACAAAACTGGGCTTGCATTCTTGCTCTGTCACACATCTTGAAAGTGGCAGAGCAAATGCCACTTATATTTTATCTATTTCATCTATCATTTTTGCAAGGGATTGTATAGGAAAAGAAAATAGTAATTTGTAATATAAAACACTAAAGGACAGTTACCTCTAGCCATTTTTTAAGTGCACACAGTATTATTTTTTAAATGATTTGTAATTTAAAAGAATATTTTTTATTTTTGTATCTTATTCAAATTTATGTTTTCATGGGGAAATGCTAATGGGATAAGTAGAAACCATGTTTTTAAATCTATATATACTCGTCTGGCTGGCTAGCTCAGTTTGTTAGAGTGTAGTCTTATAACACCAAGGTCACAGGTTTGGATCCCTGTACTGGCCAGCTGCCAAAACAAAACAAAAAACCATATATACTGTCTGATCTGAATTTAGTTAAACTATATAGGTTGATGCATAAAAAAAAAAAGACTACATATAAATGTATCAACATGCCAAGTGGTTTTCTATAGTATGGCATAGGGTTGAATTTTATTTTCTTTAGAGATATACATGAGAAGCATTTAAAAATTCTGTTTTGATCAGAAAAAAAGTTTGAAAAGTGAAGGCGCGATACATGTCACAGCTGTAACAAGTTCCCAGTGATGAAACCTCTTCCAACAATGTCAGTCATATTCTAAACATAAAAACAACCCGCCAGTCAAAGGTACCCAAAGCAAAGCAAATCTTTCTCTGATGGCCACAGTGCCTCTGCACACGCCATCTACACTTCTGCCCCCATGAAAATAAACAGTCAACTGGAGGCAAAATGTCAGAGTTGTGCCTTTATCTCCAGCGACTCTGTCAGAACAGGGGAAGGTGTATTAACGTGATGATACTTTCACTCAACCAATCACTTTCAGTTCAAATGGACTGTTTCTAAGACAGAGAGAAAGGGGGGTGAAGGGAGAAACAGAGAGAGAAGGAGAAACAGGGAGAGAGACAGAGGCAGACACAGATACAGAAGAGAGAAAGAGGAGGTAGAAGAGTGGGGCGAGAGAGAGACTTGGGGAGAAGAGGAGTTGGGTAAGATCGATAACTCTTACTCAGGGTAGTGCAGTAACACTGAGGGCCAGTGGCTACTAGATACTAAGCTTTGTGTTTTATACATATTACAACAATGAGAAGTATAGGTATTGTCCTTTTATAAGCAAAGAAACTGAGGCTCAGAAGGGTTAGGGTGCTTCTTAACTACCACACTGAAGGCACAACCTTCAGGTGCATCCTCTTCAGCATGACCTTTAATGGGAACTGAGATCCTAGAGTTGCCCCTAGTCTCCGCAGAGGACGACCTGCCACTGTCGCTGATGGCTCAGCCCCTGAGAGCTTATGAGTCGGACATAAGCATTCCCCAGTCCAGCAAAGTCTGACAGACTGTTCCTCTTTCAGTCTTTACCTACCAACTCTCAACCATACTTGGCCTTCTAAATTTTCTTCCTAATCCTTGTTTCTCCTTTTTTATGTTTCTGAACTCTCTGGCATGAAATTTATGCTTTCTAGCTTATTTCATGATGTTTTGTTTAATATTTGATTTTTCCTCCTAGAGCATTATTCTTCCTTCCCTTAATATCCCCCAACCTTCTTCAATAATTCTTCTGATTTCCTGAGAATACATTCTTTGGCAAAATATGTATTAATGGTTGCATTGTCTTTCCCAGTAGATGATACAGACATATATTAAGGAGATCTCCAAAGGCCCTAGAAAACAAATATGTCTGACTGAGTGGCTGTGGCTGAAAATTCTGCCATTTTATCACTTTTTGTTAAGGCAGCACACTTTTTAAACTGTGCTTTCTGAGCCTTAGGGTTCTGTGAATCTTTTCTGGAAGCCTACAGCAGTCAGAAAAAGCCTAGTGTGTTTGCACACACACACACACACACGCACACACACACAAAAAAACCGGGGGGGGGGCGGGGGGAAGAAGATATAACAACTACAATTACTTGAAGTTGATACGACAAGCAAACAGAAAGGACATTGTTGGGTGGGAGGGAGGAGAGGGAGGATGGAGGGAGGTTTTGGTAAGGGGCTACAATAATCAACCACAATGTATATCGACAAAATAAAATTAAAAAAAAAAAGAAAAAGAAAAAGCCTAATGTGTTTGGTTACAATTATCTCTTGGGATAAAGTGAGGATATTAAGGGTGGAGGGCAGTAAAGGTGACTTCATTCCTGTACACAGTAGCCTTTTCAGGTCTCTCTGATAAAGAGCAGCAGGCACTGTTCATGTGGACCCACACAATATCTGGACTATGAACACAATAAAGATAGTTATGTTTTACAAATGATTCAGCAAATGTGTGTAGAAATACATCTACCCTGCTTGTCAATTAAAAAGCAGGTAGAACATTTTGTCCTCACACAACGTTGACGAGATTGAAAATACTACTATTACGTCCAGCTTTTCACACTGGTTTCTTGGGGTTTCTTATAGGCTCCTACTGCACTCTGCACTTCCCCTGTCTTAACCCTCATCACAACACTGCACTGTCAAGAACGTCTTTAATAATCCTCCTCTCTCACCTGACTATAAGTTTTAAAAGGGCTGGAACCATTTCTGTCTTGCTCGTCATCACGTTCTGTGGGCCAGGAGCACTGCACACTGCCTGGCATGCAGTATGTACTAAGTAAAGCTTTATTAAATTGAATTAAATTGCAGTTGCAGTGTTCATGGAAACTGGGAGGGTATCTCAGATTCCCTACTCTTTCAGGTATTAAATTGTAGAAAAAGGAAATTCCAAAACATTATTTTTTTTATAAATAAGAATAGAGAGTATTTCAGGTAGGAGTAAGTTCTGGTGTTGTATTGCACAGTAGGGCGACTACGGTTAACAGTTAAGTTTTGTATATTACATAATAGCTAGAGAAGAGGCTTTTGAATTTCATCATAAAGAAATAATAAATGTATGAAGTGAATGATACATTAACTACCTTGACCCAATCATTATACAACATTTATATGTATCAAATCATCAGATTGTACCCATAAGTATGTACAATTATAATGTGTCAATTAAAAAATTTAAAAAACAATAGACAATTTGTAAGAGGTCTTACTGTATGTAAATCAGCTTTATAATAGATGGGTATTTAAAAAGTAATTTAGTCCTACAAATGAATAAGGTTTTCCTCCTGTGTGCCCCTAAAAGATAGAGACAAATTTAGCACCTAAATTTAAAAAGTGTGGTTGGTGGACTGGCAGTATCAACATCACCTGGGAGCTTGTGAGAAATGCAGGATGCCAGGCCTCATCCTGGACCTCCTGAATCAGAATCTGTAATTTAACAAGATCCTCTGATGATTCTTATGTGCATTAAGCTTAAAGAGACACTGGCCTAAGTTTGTGTTTTTAATTATCAGTTGAAGCTGCCCCCCAAAATCATGACCTGCACAGGTAAATTTACCTGCTACGTTCTTTTAGAAAATGTTTGGTGTTGGCTTATTTCCATCCAAGAATAAATTGTTTTCTTTCTTTTTTCTCTCTTTTTTTAAACAGATTATCTACATTGTTAGGAATCCAAAAGATACAGCTGTTTCTCTATTCCACTACTACAAAGATAACCCTAACCTCCCCTGCATTGAAACATGGGCTACATTTTTAGAGCTGTTCCTAAGAGGAGATGGTAAATATCACACGATTTTTGTTCATAATGTAGAGTGAATTTTTTTGCTCAAAATGAAAGCATTTACCAAAAGTTTAAATGGACCCTAACTGCCTGTTTTCATAAATACATGGAATAGATTATTCTTTCATTTCTTCTAAGCAAATTCTCACTTTGCTTTTTTACAGTCTTTTTTTACCACCTATGGGTAGTACATATTAATGATTATTATTGAGCTGGTTTTAATGTTTTCAAAACATATTAATTCTGTACAAGCACCTTTTGTTTTTTCATATACCATCAATCTTTTCAGTGAAATAATCACGCAGTGATTGGAGTGCAGAGAGATATAGCTGAAACCTGATTAGGTAGACTGAAAAATGCCTTATGTACACCTGCTTAAAACAAACAAACAAACACACACACACAATTTCCCCAAACAAACAAACAACTTGTGAAAGAACGGGTTTCATAAAAACAAACAGAAAGTAATTTATCCTGAAAACACCACAGCAAAACATAGGATTGAACCGTACAGTAAACCTTGACCTTTCAATTTATTTCTCTCATCCTGACTCAGGAATGAATGAAGCACTTAAAAAAAAATACTACTCTGAATGCCCAAGCCCTTCACTAAACAAAAATAATATACCAAGACATGTAGAATTTAGAAGAGATGTGATTAAAAATGGTGGGTACCCAGAAAACCCTACCTCTTACTAGGTTTAGAATAGATCTTCTTAATTGCTAATTTTGTTCTTTTACTTGCGAATTGTTGAACATTTACTTGTGAATTTCAGAGAGGTCACCTCAAATACAATGTTAACATGTGGCATTGGTAACTCACCAGCAATAGTTTTATTCCTTGTTTCACTTTATTTCCTATGGAAAAATATGCTATGCTCAAAGTATTTCAATGCTTCTTTCTGATCTGTTTCCCTCCTTAACTAATGGCACACGTTGGAATCATAAAGTTTCAGGAATGACGGGAACGTTAAAGTTTATCCGGTCAAAACCCCCTGCCTGATATTTGAATAACTCTCACAACAACCCAAAGGGTTGTTAGGGGTTAAGCTTGAACATCTTAACCCTGACAGCAGATCCACCACCCCTGCAAAGCAACACATTATATCTTGGAACTGCTACATTGTTCTTTAAAAAATTCTTACTGCTTACTCTGCGTTTACCATGTGATACAGACACTTAGCTAAGTGCTTTGCAAACATTATCTCATTTCATCCTCACTAGGATACCATGACATAGACGTTATTATCCTTATTTTACAGGTGAGGAAAATGCAAACCTTGAGTGGCCAAATAACTTGTCTACAGATGCGTAATTAATAAGGTACAAAGCCAAGATTTAAATTCAGCTGAAAACTCCAAAATCTTTGTACTTATTACTGCCATAAATTGTCCAGCAAAAAAAAAAAAAAAAAAAAAAAAAAAGGCCTCCTAATCATTAATTCCAAATTCCTCTTCTACATGATAGCCTTCTAAATATTTGAAGATGGTTAGCATGCTTCACTCTACCTCAATTCCATTTTTGGAGTAAGCAGAGCTTAAATACATAAATTATTTTTTTCAGAAATAGACCTTGAGTCTGCTTTTCCTCAAGACAAGAAATGCTGTTTTTGTCTCCCATTATTGCACACTGTGATTTCTCCCCCGTCTCACTGCTGTGTGAGCTCTGGTGTGGCCACATCTGTTACCATGCAGTGCAGAAGGCAGAACACACTACAGGTACGGTCTGCCTAAGGCAAGGTGGAGCGGGCCTACTACTGCTCCTGTCCTAGAGATTATTTTTCTGTAATTGCAGGCCCCCAAGAATGCCAGCTCCGGCCAGAACTCAGTGATGCTAACCAGCCTTCCTGGAGCATCTGCCATGGTGACCATATTATCAGGAGTCATAGCAGAATATCTAGGAGGGGCAGAGTGTCTAGGAAAATATATACCAGGTGATTCTCTTACATCTTCTTAGGTGAATGAGTAGATTTTTAGCTGTAAAGGGATTTTGCTTATCAGTATCCTACATTTGGGCGATCCAGCCTAGGCAAACCCTGCCACCACCAGGAATCGTCGCTAAATCACTAATTTTAAAAAAAAAATCTATTCAGATGGGAACAGTAGCTTCACTTTTTATCATTTATAAGATAGGGTTGTGTGTTTTCCTGTGTATATGTGTGCACATGTGCATGTGTGTATGGGTGTCTATGTATAGGTATATGACTGTTTCAAGGATGTTCTTCAATGACTTTTTGAAGGGAGGATTATTTCTCTTGCAAGTTAGAACACGATGTAGTAGAAAGAACAGGCAATGGAGGCAGAAGAACTGGCATTGAGTCCTGACTATAATTTATTCCCTGTGTGACTTTGGATAAGTGTCTTAAACATCCTGAAGCCTACACTCCTAATATAAAACAGAATTAATCAAATGATCTACTTCACAGGATTACTTAGAGGTTCAAATGAAGTAACGGCTGAAATACGCTATAGAAATCTACTCACCTATTATTTTAATAGAGACAAGACTTTTATTAAACAGTTTCACATTAGGGTGGAAATGTTGCTAGTAGGCATTTAATCTAAAAATGTCATTTTACAACTGAGCATCATGATATCCTGTATCCGTATCCATACAGTCATAGGTATAAGTTATGTAGTGAGATAGTCCAAGAAAGAAATATAGATAACTAGACATTGACATAACCACATAAGGTACATTTCAGATAGCATATAAACACACTTTAGTTTTTCGAGTTAAACAATAACTATAGATTATGTTCTGGTAATATCCTGACAGATCACCGTTTTGATGAAACTAATATCTTAGCATTTTATTCTTCTTGCCCCTAGAGCTACCTCTCCAATCTTACATTAGTAGTTCGTATTTCCTAGGCCACTTTATGTCAGACAGTTTTGCTTCTCTGCACAACTATCATGTCTTCAGAGTGCTTTCTAGAAACTAGAGACTAGGACACTTACTATAATCAGTTATAATACTAGGGCAGAAGATTTTCAGAAAGTGTGGCAGGTTTGAAATAGCCGATGTGAATAATAGAATGTGTTGATGTAGGACAAGTAAGCTTGTTAAATGGCCTTTGAGCCCTTAAAGTTGGAAAAAAGAATTTGTAGTGGTGTAAATACAGAGTTGTGTAAATTTCTCCAGCAGCACTCAGCAGGCGCAGGAGAGAAGAAAAGGTAAAGTGTTTAGATTCAATACTGGGTGTTTTTTTTTTTTTTTTTTCCTAGGTGATCGACGTAAGCAATAGAGAGTCAAGGAAGTTGAAGATTTTGGAAAGAAAACTGTTGAGGGGATGAACAAGGGGAACAAAGTAGAAATAGAAGGGGACGGAAATGATCAGAGTAGAGTGTTGTAGAAGCTTGCCATTAAAGTCACTCCAGCTGATGGGGAGACACAGAAGTTTGTAATCTACGATCAAAGTCTTCAGTGACTAAGAGAAAGACCAGGAAGTTAATTTGTGACTTAAAGAAGGAAAGGGTGGTGTATTTAAAGGATATGAGTCTCAGAGAAAGCTGGGTACTCTAGGAGGGGGAGTTCTGGAAGGAGTGGGATTTCTGGCTCACTCTCCAGACCCTAAGACACTGCAGCAAGAGTGAGCAACCTTTCTTCAGGGGCATTGAGGGAAGGAGTAATTTTGGAAAACAGAGAAAGGATAATACAGGAATATGTTAAGGCCAGGAGGTGGTGGGATAATTCTGTAATTAACTGAAAAAAATGTGGAGAAAAACATTTCCCAGAAAAAGGAGGTTTCAAATATCTGTTTTGGAAGCTACATCCTTTAAAGCCACAGGTGTGCTAATGACCTGGACCATGAGAATTCTGATTTAAAAATTAACCCAACCTGTCATTTAAAAATTCTAACGCTTTTAAAAACACCTTTCAAATATACTAATACACTTTCCTATATTGTACGGAAGCCACCAGTAGCCAATTTCTTTAAATTCTTTTGGCTGGCTAAGTCCTTTTGGAACAAGGTGGGGTATAAATTAATTAGTCAATAATAGGACAGCTGGCTCTCAAATTATGATCAGACTATGCTCCAAAAGTTCATTCTTAAATCTGTTTTGAGGCATGTTGCAATATATTTGCTACAGAAAAACCACAAAGGGCAAGGCCAATTACACCTAATAATGAGATGGGACACCGGGTCTCTAAGCCTGCCCAGCCTCCTGGCCACAGAAGCAAGGGCTTCCCTGACAATCTCAAGGGCTTCCACAGCATCAGCAACTCTACACAGTGACATCGTCTGGAAAGATGGGCTGTGGCTGCTGGTGAGAGGTGGGGCTGCATGTTTTCTTCATGAGCATAGTGTGGGGCACTAAGCAACTAGTTAACTTCCTAAATTTGCATGAGAGAAAATCAGTCTCCTTCCCACCAAGTCTTTGCATCTGGGAAAAGGTTGGCCATTCTTAGAGAATGAATGGATAATTCACTATTATTACTTATTACTGATATTGTCATTAGGGTAATTCTAAGATAAGGTGTTGTAAGTCACTGAAACAGCCGAAGGTTGTTGATAACTAAAGACTGTATCAGGGCAGCTCTTCTAAGAATGTATTCTCATTACATAACCTTGTGGTTCCATAGGGTAGAAAATCAGGCTGACTAATGACAACACAGTAGTCCTGGAAATTCTTGTTTTAAAAATACATTGTGGTTATTTTTGTGCCCTTTGTTTCCTCAAAAGCTGAAGACATGAAAAATTGCAGTTAGTTTGAAGTTAATTATACTTCAATTTATTCAATGCTTTAATGTTCAAAACGTCTCGCACAATGTCTGGCAGACACTAATGGCTTAATAAATGTTTATTCAATGAATCAAAAGTCAGCAGACCTTCAGAAAATCATTAGCAGAGTAGCTCTTTTATACTTGGGGCTTTAGCTGGAATTCAAACTTCGGATGATGAGGATTCATGGACCCATGTACATGTAGTATTTTAAATTACTATGTTTTATGCTTTAGAACTTCAAGCTAGTTAACTTCACGTGATGTCAAGAAGTTGCTCACTTTTTATTTTTAATCATCACTGAAGAAGATGTTATTTTTAATGATAATATTTTACTTTTAAGCCCTCGAGGTTTTTTAAGGCTGTCATTTAATAACAACAGTAAAGAGAAAATGTTAACTACAGATGAATCCTTAAGACTGTATTTTTAGCCTTAAACTTAAACAAAATCTTTTTTGAAGAAGAAGTTTCTAAACTTTTTATGCTAAGAACCTATATTATGAAAAACATGTCACTTTACAGGAAAAATATGATAAATTCTCAATTTTTCCCTATTTCTTCCAGGAGACAAAGCACTGATCAGAACACAATTATTGGGAAAACGTATATCTCTTTGTTTCTGCTACTATTTGTCCTGATGATAAAAAAAAAAAAAAAAATACTTACTAGCCTGTAATTATTTCTCCCATTTTAAAGATGTGCAAACTCAAGCTGACTCTAAGCACAACGTGTATTTCCTTTCTTTAATAAAAGTAATATTGTAAAATCAAAAAAAAATTACTAGAAATAAGAAAAAAACACCGATAGGCTTATTAAACGACATGGCCACCCAGCTTCATATCACAACATTGTATTTAGTTGAAACAATAGTGAAATTGAGCTCTTCTAAGAAAAACTCTTTCACTCCTGGGTCTAATATGTATGTGCTTACTTTCATTACTTCACCAAAGTGGGGAAAACCCAGAGACACAAAGCCACAATGTTTAATGTTAACACAATAATTCACTTTTCTTCCAGTTGTGTATGGATCCTGGTTTGATCATGTTTTAAACTGGGAAGAGCACGAAAATGACAAAAACATTCTAATCATATTCTATGAAGAAATGAAGGAAGTAAGTCCTCCCTAATGTTTTGACAATCAGATCTTAAATCAAATTAAGTTAAAACAGGAAATCAATCAATGAATTATGCTTTCAGGTGTTGGGGAATTAATTTGGTGTCTTGATAAGAGTTATACTTATTTTTGTTTATTTGATTATTGCTCAGGATCTTTTTAAAAGCATAAAGAAAATAGCTACTTTCCTCGGTATAAATGTGAGTGACAGTGAAATTAATAAGATTGCTCGGAAAACATCATTCAGTGAAATGAAAAATAATGCAGCCAAAATAAACTGTGACCCAAATCATACCATCTGTGCCCTCACGTCCAACAGGAACCTGGTATTCAGGAAAGGTAAGCCAGAAAGCAATGTGGTGTTCGGGGCTTATATTTGGAAGTAGTTGGCGTTTTACCATTTTTAATCTCTCATTTCACCCTCATACAACTCATTACTTGCACGATGTACTGCATTCTGTCACCCCTTAGTGAATGCTTATTTTTTTTTATTTTTTATTTTTTGTCTTTTGTCTTTTTCCATGTCCGGCAATGGATCGCAACCCTCAGTGTTGCCCCCGTACCGGACCGGGGACCGGCAACGGGATCGCAACCCTCGGCGTTGCTCCCGCGCCTCGCTCAGCCAGTGAGCGGGAACCAGTCTGTACGTGGGATCCGAACCCTCGGGCGGGAGCGCTGCCGCGCTCCCCAAGCGGCGCACTATCCAGTGCGCCACCGGGCCGGCCCTAGTGAATGCTTATTAAAGGAAATTCTTGAATTGCATTCTTTCCAGAGTTGAGACTTCCTTGCTCAGTTAGAAAGCAGTGGAGGGAGAGACACAGAAGTCAAACAGATGGAAATGATAAAGCTATTTGAGAGAGTGTTCCTCAAGTCTGCAGCCTCGCGTGTTTGCTAATAATTTACCCGGAATTATACGAACATATCCACTTAGTCACAGCCGATTGAACACAGCCCCCTCCCCCTGATGGGACAAGCCACTTGAAAATGGTGGAGAGCTGAACAGGACACTTGTTCTCTTCAGGAGAGAGAAAGGAGCCCGTGAGTTTGGAGGGTGCATTTCCCCATACTCTATCCAGATAACTCACCCTCCAGAAGTGGGAGGTGGGGAGAGAAGCTGGGATTATCTTGTTATCTGAAGACATTCCTCTGCAGGGAAACACAAAGAGAAGGAAATAAATCTGCCCCACTCATCCCTGAGGTTTAGAAGCAAGTTGTGTATATCTGGATATAGAATTGTTTGAAAATCCACATGAGTTTTTAATCTAGATCTGGGGGGAAAATATTTCAATATAAGTTACAAACACAAAATTTTCTGCACTGATGTATTATTTGTTTCTTACTAGAAACACAAATTTGTTTGCCTTCTTTGACTCAACTAAATTTAATTCCCCAAAAAGCAAAATATTTGCTAACTCATGTTGTACAGATATTGCAAATTATTAATGTCTTTTTTGGTGGTTCGTTTCTTATTTCCTTACAGTTGCAAAACCAGAGCCAGGAGGGAGGTGGGAATTCAATTCAGCAAATATTTATTAGTAAACTATTACTTCTAGAAACTAAGATTCAAAACTTAATAAAACACATCCCTTTCCCTTAAAAGGTCATACTCTAGACAGTAATGCAAGGTGATAGGGGCTATACTACTAGTATGAACAGATGTGAATAGAAACATGGGTCAGGGAGAGGTCATTTTTCCCTAGCAAACTAGGGAGAGGACATCACATTGGACCTGGGACTGAAAGCACAAGCAGGATATTACCAGAAAAATGATGGGAAAGAAATACATTGCAGCGAGAGCTAACATCAAGAAGAAAAGCTTGGAATCACCATGGAATTGGATGGCATTGTCTAAAAAGGGCAGGTAGTCTCCTGTGCTAAAGTGGTATAGGATGTGCGATGCAAAATAAGGGAGATGGAGAAAGGTTGGTGCCAGAGAGCGAAAGCTTTGATGGACATCATGAAGAGCTTCCCCTGCCCGCTGGTTTGTTTACTGTTTTAAGAAGGAACCTAACACGATCAGACCTGGGTCTTAGAAAATCATAGAGCCAGGGTAGAAAATTGATTAGAAGAGGATGAAAGTGGAGGCAGAAAGTCCGATTAAGAGGTTGTTGTAAAAAGTTCAGGTAAGAAACATTGAGAGTCACAATTCTGGCCATGACAGTGGAATCACTGATGGCTACAGCTCAGTTGAGGAGTTAGTGGACGAACCATAAACAGGTTGTGGAATTAGGTGGAATTGCCAGAGTGAGAGGGAAGGGCTAGCGGAGAAAGTGATCATGTTTGGAGCCCTGGAGACCCTAACATCAGCAGGAAGAAAACAGCCCAAGGGAAGCCAAGAAAAGAGATCAGCCAGAATCAGGAGGAAAGCCAGGATCAAACAGGACAAGGCATTTATGATTTGTGAATTCTGAGAGCACAGTATCCATAGCAGTAGAGATGGGAGCCAGACTGAGGGGTATGAAGAGATGAGAGCTAAAGAAGGGGAGCAGCGACTAAAGACCACTCTTCCAAAAAGTTTGAGAGTAGATGACAGGAACAAGGTAACGTGGGAGACTGAGAGAGGCAGGGTCGAGAAGAAGAGCTGGAGGGGTGGGGAGAGAAGATGAAGGGAGGACAGAAAACTTAGGAAAGGATGCACGAAGGAAGGCAAAATAAGCAAAGGGGAGAGAAACAGGAAGAAAGAGAACACGGTGAAGGAGTTCTGACGCTTAGCAGCGTCCAGCGCTGCCCGTGGCATCTTTTATCACTGTTCTTTGAGATTCTGATTAGCAAAATAATCAGTATTCACATGTTTTATCCTACAAACTTGAGAAATTTTACTCTAATGGGAATGGAGATCATCTCTGACCTGCTACACTGTAACCCTAGCAAATATCCCCAGGTGAAATTACATCAACATAATTGTAGCTAACAGCATTAACCCTAATGCATTTAAGTTCTGTCTCATAAGCGTTTTCCTTGTGCTGCATCTAAGCACAGAAAATTAGCAATGGAAACATCCTCCCTGACACTAGTTGCCACGAGTGCTTTTTGATAAATCTGTACTATGTGAGGACTAAACACAACATGGACCAGTACAGCCCATTCACTTACTCCCTTCCTTGGATGGATGAAGTGGGAGTTGGGAATCCCTACTCTGAAAATAATTGTTTCAAATAAACGACTTCACTTTAGAGAGGAAAATTTGTGCCTGCAGTTGGCTTTCCTGTGAAGTGTGAAATAGAGCTGATATTCTAGAACATGATGAAAGTGGCCATGGAGATAAAGTGGCAAGTGAGGATATGAGAGTCTGAAGTCCAAGGGCCCCCACATATTAAAAGGGGGAGAATTACAAGAGTGTGGAAAGACGTATGGACAGGATGCATGTTGCAATATTGCTTATATCAGTGAAAACCTAGAATGCACTTAAATGGCCATTAATCAGTAACTCAAGTCATATCTATACAGGGGTTTACCATGGAATCATGAAAATTATAGAAAATTATGTGAGAACAGTTAGCACTTATTAAGTGCTTTCTGTGTGCCAGAAAATTTATCTTACTCTAATTTGACAACAGTCTTGAGGATGATATTCATGTTATCCACACTTTGCTGAGACACTAAACATCTGAGTAACTTGTCCAAAATCATAAAACTAATAGTTGGTAGAATCAAGATTTGAATCCAAACCATCTCACCTATTTGAGAGTGTGCTCTTTTTCTTGTAGTTAGTCTAGCTAAAGATCTGTCAATTTTATTTATCTTTTAAAAAAACCAGCTCTTAGTTTTGTTGATTTTTTTGTCTGTTGTCTATATTGTTTATTTCTGCTTTAGCCATCATTATTTCCTTCCTTCTGCTAACTTCAAGCTTAGTTTTTTCTTCTTCTTCTAGTTCCTTGAGGTATAGAGTTAGGTTGTTTGAGATCTTTCTTCTTTTTTAATATAGGTGTTGATCAATATAAATTACCCTCTTTGTACTACTTTTGCTGCATCTCATAAGTTTTTGTATGTTTTGTTTTTCTTTTAATTTGTCTCAAGAAATTTTCTAATTTCTGTGGAATATACTATAAAGCAAATATATTCCACAGGGCCTAGTTTCTTGCAGTTTCAGGTTTAGCCCGACTTCTTAAAAGTACATATAAAAATGTTAACCTTACAAAAGACAGGAAATTTTCCCCAGGCTAGTCTCTGTTGTAGGATAAAGCCAGCAAGGTTGCTGGCTCAAGGACAGACAAGTTACTGATTAATATGTAAAGATACTGGGAAATTGTGTAGGGAGAGAGAATGTTTGCTAAGATTAAGCTTTGGTTGGTGGATCGACTTAACCTCTTGCAAATTGCATTATGGAATGTCACTTTGCTTGTTTGACTGATGTTACCAGGCTATACTGTTAAACTATAACCCCACCTATGTTCTTTTCCTGTAATTTCCTGGTCTGGAGAATAAATGTGGGAAGAGAACCCCAGTTCTTGGTTAATTTCCCAAATGGAAGGAATGCCTCTGTCTTGAGGGTTCTGGGAGATTAATCCCTTCAGGGCTTCTCACTGCTCAGAAGTGATGGGCTTCGAATAATCCTTTGCAGCTCCATCACGCAGGGGAAGAGGGGTGACAAATCCGTGGGAGGCAAAGCAACAAATTTCCCTTTTGATTTCTTCTTTGACATATTGGTTGTTCATCTTACTCTACTCAGCCATAATATTTACTGTAATATTTAATGTGTATATACATTAAGATGGAAGATTACCAAGGTATAATAAGTGAAAAAAGCAGGATGTAATTATGTGATTTTTAAATGTAGTTTATATGCATATACATGTTTGCAAAGAAGAGCATTTGGGATAATGCATACCAGCAGATCTGTTAGCTGTGTTAACTGAGTACATTTCCTTGATTTTTAACTTCCTTTGCTTATATGTATTTTCTGTAACCTACCACATTATTTTAACTACCACGTTATTTTTTAAAATAAGTTTTTTCTTAAAAAATCACGTAAAAGAAAATCAGTGTGAAAGAACAAATTAGAAACAAGACAAGCAAACAAAAGACAGGTCAGATGAAGAAAGATAACAGTAATTCAGGCAGACTTGATGCCACAGGTAGGTTCCACGGGGCCTGATAGTCGGCCTCAACCCACCCAGTCCTTACCAGGTTCTTGAATTCACCACAGGAAAGAATTCAAGGGCAGAGTCACAGTAGACAGTGAGAACAAGTTTAATATCACAGATAAGAAATACAGGTTCCACAGAGAGTATGGCATGTTGTGGACACTGAGCGGGCCCACACGAGGTTTAACACAGAAGTAAGTTCAGTACAGACATCAAGTTTAACACAAGAGCAAGAAAAACACACTTAATGCTCAGTACAGAGTGCAGGCTGGCTCCAGAGAATGAGCAACTGCTTGCTGAAAGTAAGTTAGATGCAAAGTAAAGTATGCACACCTCAGCCAGTCAAGTGCGGGTTACCTCTAGGACAGTAAGCAACAACCCCTCCTTCTGCTTGGATTCACTTTTATAGTTTCTCTATCTAATGTATATTCCATTACGGGGGTGGTTCCCAGTTATATGCACCAGGCATATTCAAGAATATTCTGTGCTCTCTATTGAGCATGCCCAGCCACTGGATTTGCATAAGCCAGCCCCTTGTGGTCTGATTTTCCTCATGTTGGTGCTAAAAATAGATTTGATTTTCCTCATGTTCTGCTAAAAACTGGCAACAGTTACTGCCCTGCAGGAGAGAGATCAGAGAAGGAGGCCTGAGACCTCAGGGAGTGGCTGGAAACCCAGAGGCATGTCCTGAAACCTGAACCCAAGGAAACTGAGCACTTCCTATATCAGACTGATACAGAAGCTGGGAAAACTAGGAAGGACCAAAGAATATAAGTAAAATTAATATTGCTACAGGCCAAATAGTTTGACTTCATTAAGTTGGCCTTGTGTCCCAACTGGTGTGTTGTAGAAGCTACGTCATTTCCTGACTCTGAGATCTTCCCTCTGGTACTATTCTGTTTTCCATTCCTCTTTGTTCCTTCTTCAACCCAGTCTTTTGGACCAGGAATCACCACCACCCAAAATTCTTACATTGTAATATATTTTTTGCTGTATATGACATTGTCTGACATCCAATCAAGCCACATGTATTTATTGAGCACCTACTGGATGCTGGTCAGTACTGGACTGGGTACTGCAGGATTACGCACAAACAATTCATCACAGTCCCTAACTTGAAAGAATGTATAAGCTAATTGGAAAGAAAAGATAATAGAGAATAATACAAGACAGTCTGTAATGGAGGGATAAAATGATATATCACTGGCCCTAGTACATGTAGACCCCAGAGATGAAGCTTGAGGCCAGAAATGGCAAAAAAAACCATGGTGGCCAAGATCGAGGGTTGGTGTTTGGCATAGTGTGCATAGTGGAGGTGAGAAAGGCAGTCCTGAGGGGTTGACCCCATGGTCAAGGCTGAGGGAGAGGGGTTTGTTGTATGATCAGGAGAGGCTGCTGGACTATGCAAAGCGTATATCTTGTCTCAATCACCAAACCTTATATTGAACGTGAAGGTGTCGCACAAGTAACTTGGTGTTAATGTTTTCAGTTCTCTATCAATTTTGTAAAATAAATTTCCTTAAAATGAGACCAATTACCCACCCGTATGGCATGTTATTAGTGCAGATTCTGCTGTGGAGGTGCACAGGTAGGGAAATAAATAATCATTATGTCCACATTGTCTGCTTTACGTTTTTATTAAGTTTATGTGAGAAACTTCTTTTCCTGCTATAGTAAAACCTATGACATTGACATATTTTAAATCTTCCTTTTTTGTATTTTTTAAAATTTTATTTTTTTGGGCCAGCCCTGTGGCGCACTCGGGAGAGTGCAGTGCTGGGAGTGCAGCGGTGCTTCCGCCAGGGGTTTGGATCCTATATAGGGATGGCCGCTGCCCTCACTAGCTGAGCGCGGTGCGGGCGACACCAAGCCAAGGGTTGTGATCCCCTTACTGGTCACGAAAAAGACAAAAAAAAAAATTTATTTTTTATATGTATATTTTTAATCTTCCTTTCTTTTTAAGAGATAACTTTTTAAACTGCACAAATTAATGCACGACCATTATAGAAGGAATAAGAAACAACAGATAAGTAAATGGAAGATGATCCCTTCTCATTTTATCACCAAAAGATAACAAATGTTCACGTTTTATTATAAAGCTGACAGAGTTGTTTTGTGAATATTATACATTTAAATTGGTTCTTTTCTGATACATTTCCAATTTTTCCAGGCGCAGTGGGTGATTGGATAAATTACTTTACTTCAAAGCAGAAGAGAGTATTTGATGAGCTATTCACAGAGAAAATGAAACACAGTGAACTGGCAAGACACTTTGAGGACTACTCTTAATATAAATGGGAAATGAAACTAATTTCCTTTCCATGCAGTGCTTGGGGAATGTGTAAATATTTTTCACCAATATAGAAAGAAGATATTTCAGTGAAAAAACAGACATTTTATGATGTATCAAAAGTACCATATGTGACAGACTATTAAATTTGGTAATTGAGAAATTAATAAAAGGAAGTATAAAATTTTTGAATTGATGCACTATATATCTGTTGTCATGATGTTCAGTAAGGCAAGGAGATTACTTCTGTTCAGAAAGAGCATGTTACTATAGGTGTTCTATAACCTGCACTGACATACAATGAAAGAGGTGAGGGATTATCTAAAATAACAAATCCCAGCAAGAATTTACTTTCTGTCTATTGGGACAATCATAACCTCTAGATAAATATTTTTATTTCAACATTTCCTGGTGTCTGTGTAGAAATTTTTCCCAGTGTCCTAACTATGACAAACATAAACTTACTAAGGTGGAAACACCTAACGGATAGATTAATCAAATGACTCCATTCCAATATATTGGTGAGAATGAGGAACGAAAACATACTCTTTCACATTAACACCGGCTTAGCATTCCAGAATTTTCTTCATCTTTAATCAAGTCAAATTACAAAATTTTTTATTTTCCAGTTTTGAAAAGTATAATTTTCTTTGAAGTGTTTATGTCTTTATTTACAGTGTTTTGAATATGTATACTTTTTTCCAGAAGCATATCCGACATTAATCTAATCTCTAGAATTCTCTCTCTCGTAATGAGTGTTATTTTATAGTTTTAGGCTAGAGAACATTGTATTGAAATTTCAGTGAATTTATTTTAGAATTATTACCTAAATGACAATACATATATTATATACTTTACATTTGTCATAATATCTAACAAAAGGCTTAATGGGAAATCAAAATGATATATTGTGTATGTCTCTTGGCTCTGAACTTAAAGCAATGAGCTGTTAGTGAATTCAAACACTTTGATTTAGTCACTTAATGTATTGTGAATCTTATTTTTAGTAACAAATCTGTTCAAGTCTTTTGCATCGTTTATCACAATTCAACAAGAAAGAGATTTTCACAAATCTTATGTATATGTTTGTGACAATAAAATTTATTCCTGTTGATTTTATGCAATACAGTTTTTTTCCTTCAAAATTAACATTTATAAAGATTTACTTAGACATCTCACTTCCCCAAATAAAAAAGGTTACTGAATGAGAGAGGCAATCCGGTGTGATCTTGGTCAAGTATTCATCTTCATGTTGGAGGTAGAGTCACACATGTTGGAGCTAAAATGACAGCTGATATTGACGTTTGGAGAATGACAAAGCCATAAGAGTGAAGTAAAGGGGATCTATGAAGCTGACAAATGAAGAAAACAACATCTGTAATGTTGGAGGAACCAAACCTTATGAACTTACATCATCTTCTCACAACATTAAAATGATCATTGAGATCTAAAGAACTGAAATATTTAATGATGTCATAATATTTTAGATCTGTAAGGTAACTGTGGGATGTTGTAATTCAATTCTGATAAGAAATTGCTTAAGGTCAGTATCTAAAGGTGTCACCAAGAACCTCAATTCCCAGTTCACTATCAAGCAGTCAAAAATATTTTTGAGTGCCTTCTCTGTGCCAGGCTCTGTTGTATGTCAAAAAGTAGGACAGATTCTCCAAAGGGGAGTGAGACACTCTGACACACAATTTCAAAAGATCACTCTGACTACTAGACGGAGGATGGACCTATGGGATGAAGGAAGAGGCAGGAGTAAATGGCTTTCGCAATGGTGGAGGTGAGAGAAGGGGGGGCTTGGCCTATGACTGTAGCAGCAGAAACGGGGGGAAATGGTCAGTCTTAGGATGTAATATGGAAAGTGAGCTGCTAACCTATTCATATAGGAGTAAGAGACAGAAATGAACAGATGACGAAGCCTAGATATTTGGTTAACCAACTGAACATCTGAGGGTGGCATTTATTTCGATGTGAAGGCTTGATAGCAGAATGATTTTGTGGGGTGGAGGAGACGTGTGGATAAAGACTTCTGTTTTGATCATGCTGTTTGAAAGCATCTACAGATCTAGACACCGGGTCATTGCCTGGTTATAAGAATCCTTGATGACTGGTGTGTTGTTCCCTGGGGCTCAGCGGGAGATTCGAGAATGTCAGGGGGTGTGAAAGGTCAAGGGGTATAGAAGACTTACAGAGCAGTATGGAAAAAGAGAATTTAAACGATGATGAATAACCTGGGAATCATGGGCTTTTAATAGTCGCTGAGATAGTTTGGGATTAAATCAAGATAGATCGATCCTGCAAGTCAGAGCATACATAAATGTAGATGCTGGTCATTGCCTGGATTGCTTCCATTAAAACAGATCAATGATACCTAACTGTATATGATGTTGAAAGTTAGCCTTCCCTATTTCATTTTCATGAAGTATTTTAATAACCAGTTTTAAAGTCCTTTTCCTGATTAATGTTTCTAAGATGAATGTTTGGAAAAATTACTTTGTCAAAGCTTATTCTGTACCTATGAGTTCAATGCTACTGATAAACAACACCCAGGAGTTGTCTTGATGCACACAAATATAGCAGTATAAATTGTCAATGGTTCTTTCATTAAAGAGGCCAAAAGATAACTAAGCTATCTTTAAGTGGTCACTTATTAATTTTTTCTTTTACCTGCCATAAATATCAGGTGCAATTAGGTACCTCATCAGTGGGCATCCACATTATAGTGAGAATTCCATCCTCCCTAACTTTAACTCCCATTCACTGTGCGTCCCTGCTTCTGGAGGACAGGGCAGGGTTGGAGAATGTACAAATAGACTAGTAATTTCTTTCAAATCCTACTACCATCTTTTGCCCATTTCCTGGATCATTGCCCAGAAAATGGAAGCAATCACCAGTCACACCTATGGGGTGGGCTAAAGCAATCTGGGCAATCCTGGAGAGACACATGTAGAATGATTGCCCTGCTAGCCAGGCCCTCTGAGGTTTTTCCCTTTTTAAAAGTTCTGGATCTCGCTCCCTGGGCTCTGACTGACCTACCCCTTTGCTTTTTCACTTCCTTGAAGCTTACAAAATAACAATATGTATTTCCTCATTCAAACTCTCTCGTTTTCCCCTTTTGATTCCCTCTGTCACATACCTTTCCCTCTTCCTCCATTTCTCTGCCCTACCCTTGCCCTTTGTAGTCAATGAATAACTGCTACATCTTAACGATGTTCCTAAGGCGTCATGAGCCACTGCTTTCTCACTTCCAAGCATTTGTTCGTGCCTTAATTGCATTACACCCCATAATCGATGTAACACCCGCTCTATGAAAATATGCTCTGATAATCCCTGCTCTTTACCCCTTTAATTTTAATATCTCCCTCTGTATCTCCCATGATTCTTCATTTGTATTTTACTTCCCACACTTAACCATTCCATTTGGGCCTTTTATTGTTAGGTAAATGTCCATCTCCTATGCTACCTTGTAAAGTTCTTGCCAGTTAGAGTCCATGTGGTGTTCATTTTTGTAACCCCCACCACACCTAGCTCAGTACAGCACTCAGATGAGCGCAGCTCATAACAAATGTCGGCTGTGATTTGAGTTCATGGACCATCTGAAATTCTATGTCTTCCAGAAAACTCAGGTCCAGTACTGCTGAAGAAAGTGAGCCAAAACTCCGGGTACCAATCAAGCTTTATTAAGGGAAAAGAATCTGCCGGGCTGCACTCAAAATAGAGGGCAGCCCCAGGTGTGGGGGTGGGAGAGCTCACACAGGCTGTAGGGAAGGCTGATGTGATCAGGAGAGGTTTGGGCTGGTGCAGAAGATAAGGCTGGCAGATTCCATCAAGTGGAAGGTTGCACCCATGTGGAAGTAGAGGAGTTTCTATTTCTCAGAAACCACGAGGTTTCTCTTAAGGGAAAGGCTGGTGGCTATTTTGTGCTTATTATGTGCAAAATGGTGCCGGTCACGTCAAAGATCCACCATTCCCGCCTTTTAAGTATATGGAGAAGGGAAAAGGGGCAGAGGTCTCATTCTTCTGAAGCTACTTCTTGCTGGAGATGGGCAAAGACATGAAAAAATAAAAGATTTATGTTGGCGGGTAAAACAATTAGGTGGCAGGGTATTGGTTTCATGTGGGGAGGCTGTATTCTTCCAGGGAAGGGTAGCTGATTCTGAGGAGCTGATATCCTCCTCCCATGAAGAATTCAGTGACCTTTTGATTGGTGAAAGCCTGCATACATTTCTCTAAGAAACTAGAGAAACACCAAAAGAGGCAGGGACCAAGAAGAGAGATAAGTCCCATCATGGTTAGGGGTCTGATGTGTATTGTCCTGAAATCCTCCCCATCACTATAGCCTAAGGGAGTGGTTTGGGTGAAGCAGAAATATTTTTATTGGCGGGGGGTGCATTGGACTCCAGCAGAATACCCTTTGGAAAGAGCTATCCAGTAGTTTTTACCCCCATAAGAACATGGTGTGGCAGTTGTCTGGTCATTGCATGTTGTGGGAACATATGTCAGGGATGTGAATGTGTCCTCTAGGGTTCCCCCAAAGATTCTGGGCGGCTGACCCGGGAGCTTGGAAAGTGTCTTTCCACCTACCAAGACCTTGGTTATACATTGTGAACAGGGTGTGGCATGTGTCTCTGTTAGGAAAAGAAGCAGGAGGAAGAGAAAAGGCAAGTGTTCAGGGGCTGAGAGGTTGAGTGGGTGCATAGTAGGAAAAAGGAGTAGTGGGTAACCTCGTCATGGGTGTAATCGCAGAGGGTGCCCTGCCAGGCTAATTCAGTTACCCATTCAAAGATGTCTTCAACACTAGAGGTGGCAGGTTGGGACCAGTCTTGGAGCAGCTCCTGTATGAAGGACGTGAGGCAGGCCTGCAGGAGTGAGAGGACAATCGCCGGGGGGAGGATCATCCTTCTTCTGGGATTGGGGGAAGAGTGGAGGTCCTGGAGATTTTCAATTTCATGGGTCCTAAAATGGACAAAGTGTAAGGAGGTGTCGGGTTGGGGGTTGAGCAGGCGGACCCCTCTGGCTTGGTGTTAACAGATTCTTTGGGTAAAGTCTCAGGTGCTGTGGGGGTGGTGTTTAAGGCCCTTCCCAACATGGCGAGAGAGGCTTTGGGATTTGGGTCTTAATATACACCTGCTGTCCTGGGCTCAGTTTAAAGTCTGAGGGGGTGGTGAGGAAAGAATGAGGTAATAGAAGGTTGGCCTGTTCCCTAAGAAGATCCCTAAGGAGTGAAAGAGTATGGAGATGCTGGCCTAAAGGTGATGAGCTGGAAGGGAGAGGTGTGAGAGTGGCTGGATTTAGGGGAGGGCAAGGTTT